GGGTGGTGGTTGTGGTGGTGGTTGTGGTGGTGGTGGTGCTGTTGTGGTGGTTTGTTGTGGCGGTGGTGGTGGTTCTGGTCGTGGGTGGTGGCGGTGGAGGTGGTGGTGTGGTGGTTTGTGGTGGTGGGGGTGGGTCGTGGTGGTGCTGCTGGTGGTGGCGGTGGTGGTGGTGGTTGTGGTGTGGTGGTTTTTGGTGGTGGTGGTGGTGGCGGTGGTGGTGGTGGCGGTGGGTTGTGGAGGTGCTGCTGGTGGTAATTGTGACGGTGGTGGTGGTGGTATGGTGGTTTGTGGTGGTGGTGGTGGTGTCAGGTTGTTCTGGTGGTGAGGTTGTGGTTGTGGCGGTGGTGGTGGTGGTGCTGTTGTGGTGGTTTGTGGTGGTGGTGGTGTTGTGGTGGTTTGGTGGTGGTGGTGGTGGAAGTGGTGGTGGTGGGTTGTGCTGCTGGAAGTGGTGGTGGTGGTTGTGTGGTGGTTGTGATGGTGGTGGTGTGGTAAACTGTGGCGGTGGTGGTGGTAGTGGTGCTGGATTGTTGTGGTGGTGGTGGTGGGTTGTGGTGGTGGTGGTGGCTGTTGTGGTGGTGGTTGTGTAGTGGTTTGTGTTGGTGGTTGTGGTGGGTTGTGGTGGTGGTGTTGGTGGTAGTGGTGGTGGCGGTGGTGGTGGTGGTGGCGTGGTGGTTTGTGGTGGTGGTGGTGGTGGGCTGTGGTGTTGGTGGTGGTGTTCCTTCTAGCGGTGGTGCTGGTGGTGTGGTGGTAGTGGTGGTGGGTGTTTGGTGGTGGTGGTGGTTGTGGTGGTGGTGGTGCTGTTGTGGTGGGTTGTGTTGGTGGTGGTCGTGGTGGTGGGTTGTGGTGGTGGTGGTGGCGGTGGCGGTGGCGGTGATGGTGGTAGTGAGGTGTGGTGGTTTGCGGTGGTGGTGGTGGTTGTGGTGGGTTGTGGTGGGTTGTGCTGGTGGTAGTGGTGGTGGCGTTTTTGGTGGTGGTGGTGTGGTGGTTTGTGGTGGTGATGGTGGTGGTTGTGGTGGTGGTGGGTTGTGGTGGTGGTGGTTGTAGTGGGGGTTTGTTGTGGTGGTGGTGGTTTGTGGTGGTGGTTGTGGTGGTTGTGTCCCCTTGGGGTCTTCCCGCCACCGTTTTTTGGCTCCGGGTCAGAGTTCTAATGGATGCCTTTTGAGGTCTCGTCAGAGGGGTCTCGGGGGCGTCTAAGGAGCATTTGTGAAGCCTCCTGGACCTTCCTGAGGGCGTCTCGGTGGCTTTTTGGGGCGAGTGCTCGATATGGCGATTTGTGTTTCCCCTCTGCGGCCTCTGGGCCCTCTTTGGTCATTGTCGCTGCGTCCCCGCCGTCGGCGCTGCTGGCCGCCGCCAGCGCTGGCGCGGGCGCCGGCGCCGGGAGGGGTGGGTGGGTTTAGACCCCCCACCTGGGCCCTGTTTGGTCATCGTCGCTGCGTCCCCGCCGTCGGCGCTACTGGCCGCCCGCCGCCACCGGCGCCGGCGCCGGCGCCGGCGCCGCGGGGGGGGGGTTAAAGCCCCCCTCCCCTGGGAAGGGGGGGGTGGGGGAGGGGGGCGGTCAGGGGGGGAAGGGAGTCCCGCTGGATTGGTTCTGATCGACGGCGTCGAATGTTGGGGGCGGGGGGCCCCTTCCGAAACGCGCCGCCGAATGTTCCCAAGGCATGTACCCGTGAAGCGCGCTCTCTCGATTTGAGGAAACCCAACAGTTCTCTTATTCGTGAAATCGAGATCTCCATCGTGAATTAAAAAGGGTACGCTGTATGTTCACGCAGTGTTTTTTCACGCTGTGTGTGTGTGTGTTTACATATCGTTTGTATATTTACTTGTTGTTGCGTAGCGTTGTTTACGTCGTGTGTTTCTTGCGTAGTGTTTCCTGCGTACCGTTTCCTGCGCAGTGTTTCTTGTGGAAGGTTTCCTGTGTAGCGTTTCCTGCGTAGCGTTTCCTGCGTAGCGTTTCCTGCGTAGTGGTTCCTGCGTGGCGTTTCCTGCGTGGCGTTTCCTGCGGCGCGTTTCTTGCGTAGTGTTTCCTGTGTGCGTTTCCTGCGCAGCGTTTTCCGCGTAGCGTTTCCTGCGTAGCGTTTCCTGCGTAGCGTTTCCTACGTAGCGTTTCTTGTGTAGCGTTTCCTTCGTAGTGTAATGCTTTTGTACGCACTGTGATGTTGTACGCCGTGCTTATGTTACACAGTCTTTGTTACCCCATGTTTTTCTTATGCACATGTGTATATACACACGCAATGTTTTGAACGTAGTGTTTTGTCACGTAGTATTTGTTTTACGCAGCGTACTTTACGTAGTGCGCTCCCTTCGTAGTGTCTCCTGCGTAGGGTATCGTGCGCAGTGGTTCCTTCGCAGCGTTTCCTACGTATTGTTTCCTGCGTATTTTTGTTTTGTTTTACGCAGTGTGTCCAACATTTTTTTTCACATCGGGTTTTTTCTTAGATAAGCAAGAGCAGCGTGTGTTTACGTAGTGCGTTTGCGGCGACATGTTTTTGCGTAGTGTTTATTGCGCCGCGTTCCTGCGTAGTGTTTCCTGCTTCGCGTTTCTTGCGTAGAGTTTGTTGCGTAGCGTTTTCTGCGTAGTGTTTCCTGCGCAGCGTTTCCTGCGTAATGTGTCCTGCGTGATGGTTTGTTATGCAGCGTTTCCCGCGCAGTGTTGTTTGTGAAGCGTTTCTTGCGTAGTGTTTCGCGCGTAGCGTTTTTCGCATAGCGTTTCTTGCGTAGTCTGTCTTGCGCAATGTTTCTTGCGTCGTGTTTTTTGCGTAGTGTTCTTTGCGTGGTGTTTCTTGCGTGGTGTTTCCTGCGTCGTGTTTCCTGCGTAATGATTCCTGCGTAGTGGTTTTACATGCGGACTCCGGCGCAACGTTTCCTGCGGAGTAGTTTGCACGTAGCGTTTTCAACGTAGTTTTTTTGGGGCGTCGCATTTTCTACGTAGCGTTTCTTGCGGAGTATATTCCACACGCTGTTGTCTACGTTGCGTTTTCTGCTTTGGGGGCGTAGCCGCCCTCTGCGCTTCTGATGTTTTCGAAGAGAGAACAACCAAACAACCGCAGAAGGCAAACCACAACACAAACGAAACATGTGGAACCCACGAGAAAAATAAAGGGCGAACGTGCAGAGAAAGCAAAACGCAGAAACTGATACAAAAAACAACAAACGAAGACAACGAACACAACACAGAAATCACAAAAAAAGCGAACAAGGCGAAAACGCTGAAACAATCAAATACATAAGAAGGCGATATAGCAGAACAAATGAGAAAAACTGGAAAAAACTGAAAGCACAGAAAGAGGCGAAAGAGCCCAACAAGCATAACATCATGTGTGTCGCGTTTGTTGTATGTTCGTTTATTATTATTATTAGTATTAAAAATGTTTCCACGTGTTTCACATTTGTTTGGTTATTCGTCTTTTTCTGTTTTTTTGTCGTTTTCGCCTTTTCTGTGTTTTTCGGTGTCTCGCATTTGTTGTCTTTTTCTGTTTTTTCTGCTTTTTCGTTTGTTTTGCCTTTTTCGCCCTTCACGTCGCTGTTTTCTGCTCTTTTGCTTTTTGTATGGTTTTCTTGTTTTCTTGCCTTCCAACAGTTATCGGATTTGTTTGTTTTCTTCTGTCGCGTTTGCTTGCCTTTCTCGCCTATTTATGATTGTCGTTTTCTTCAGCATTTTCGCCTCTTTGCTGCGGCGCCCTCTCGACGAACAAGAATGCAGTTTCGGCGGTATTGAGAGCTCTCCTGAACGCGTCCAATCGCGTCTCCTTTCCCGTGGTGGACGCCCTCTGACTGCGAGATCTCGCCGTGGCCGATCACCCTTGAACCCGCGGTGACCGCGCGGGCGCGGCGCGCGAGGTCGGGCTGCTCGGCGCGCGATGGGCCCGCGCCGGCCGCCTCTTTCGGACAACCGTTGGGTCTCGCAAGGAATGGGGCCAGGCCAGGCGCCCGAGTTCACTTTCGAAAGGGAATGTTCGGCGACCGCCCGAACCCTGACGCGACGCGGCTCGCGCGCGCGCTGATGAGCATGGGGGGCGGTGCTCTGGCCGAGATCCAAGAGTGCGTCATCGCGTCTGGCGGCAGCGCGCACGCGTACTCCTAAGACGGCCTCGCGTTCCACGTGCCAGGCGCAGCCGAGACGGCGTTGCAGGAGAAGCTGACGGAGTTCGAAGTCCGCTCGAGTCTGTCGGTGAAAGTGCGCGCCGTCAGCGCTTCTGGAGGCGACCGCGCCTTCGCTGTTGGCCAGGGCGCGAAGTGGCGGGCGATTGTCGGCGGGTGAAGCCGCGATCGCGGCGCCATTGCAGTCTGCCGCGCTCGCGACGCCATTGCGCGTTGAACACGGACTGCGCCCGGCGCGGGGCGCCGGGCCGCGGGCGGCGCGGGCGCGAGCCAGGCGTCGGCGCCCTGAGCGGGGCGGCGCCGGCTGGGCGGAGGGGGGGGGCGGGCGTGGGCGCGCAGGCGGGGATGGGAACTTGAAGATCGACGTGTGCATTTCATCGCCAATTCAACGCATGGGGGCGGGGCTCGCAGTCAAGGCATCTGAAGCCGATCGCGCGCCGCTTGCTGGAACGCGCCGCCCACTCGTCATCGCCGCCGCCTTCGCTGCAGCCGTGCCGCTGCCGTTGCCGTCGTCGCCCTCGCGTCATCCGCTGCTGCTGCTGCGACGCATCGCTTTCTTGATTCGCAAGCGCCCGCGCGTTCCTCGCGACAGTCGCAGCTGACTCGCGCGGCCCGCTCGCCATTGCACGTCGCCTCGTCGTCGGGGGGGCGGGGGCGACGATCGGGGGTGTTCAGTCGCGCTGACGTCGCGCCATCGCGGCAGCCGCGTTGTTTGTCCATTCGCCGTCGTGCTTGCGCTGCAGCTGCTCTGGCTCGGACGCAGCGCGGTGTCGGGCCGCGCGCGTCTGCCTCCGCGCTGAGAGGCGGACCCGCGGTCCGCGGCGGTCGCGCGCCCACTCCCCCCCCGCGGGGGGCGGCGCCCCCGCCCGCAAGAACGCGCGCGAGTTCCAGGATGCCGCGCGCGCGGGGCCGCCCCGCCAAGCGCCCCAGAATCGACGACCCCGCCCCGTGCCCAGATCGCCCCTCGACCAAGGCAGCGTTGTTCGCCCGTCACTATGGGGTCGTTCCAAAGTCGCGCACTTGCCCCGCGCGCAGTTCGGAGGCGCGAGGAAGACCAGTTGCCGCGGCGACGATTGCCGCTGGCTCGCTCTGGCGCGGGCCGCGACGCGATCGGGCCGCGCGCGAGGACTGCGGCGACAAGGGGGCGAGCACGTCGAGCGGCGCGCTCCTGGGCGCAACGAGAACTTCGCCGCGGCCGCCCCCGTCGGACACCCTGGCCACGCTGGCCCAAGCGCACCCGCGCTTCGCGGCGATCGCAAAGTTGTCGACCACTGGTCGGTCATCTCCCATGGCGTCGCCATCGCGCGCGCCCAGGGCGGGATCTCGCTGCCGTCGCCGCACGATGGCCGCGCGCAGAAGCGGGGGGCCGCGGCAAAAAGGGCCGCGCGCAACGAAAGGCCGCGCCGATTGCCCGCGACAAGCACCGCCGCGAACTGGGCCCATGGAAACCGCGTCGCCACCAAGCGCGGCAACGCCGAGCGCGCCTCCGCGAAGAAGCGCGGCGCCAAGCGCCCCATCGCAAAGAAGCAGAAGAAGAAGAAGAAGAAGCCTGCCCAGGGCGCTGCGGGGAATCAGGGGGGACCAAGCCCCCCGCCACGAAGAAGGCGAGCCCCGCGAAGTTCATCGCCCAGGCAGACGAGGCGAGCCTCAACGAACGGAAGATCGCGTGCCTGACCCCTGGCTGCCGCCCGAAGCCCGGCAAAATCTGGTCGCGGGGCGTCGCTGTGCAGGGGTCGCCGGTGAATGTCTTCTCCCGCGTGCTCGACCGACCGTCGGGCGCTTGCGATGGGCGGCCGCGGGGCAAGGCAAAACCGCCGAGAGCGTCGGCGCGGTCGGCCTCCGCAGAGGCGCGGCGTTGGCGGCGGATTTGCGGGGGGCGCGCCGGCGGCAGCGAAGCGCGTCCGCGCTGGGGGGGGCTGGTCGACGCGCGACCTGCGTCGCGAGGTGGTCGCGCACCGCCGCGGGGCAACGGCGAGTGCGCGCGACTGCAGCGCCAACGCTATCGAGAACAGGAGGTCCGCGCTGAAGCGGTGGGCGAGAAGCGCAGCGGGGGCCAGCTGCCCCCCGCCTCGGACAGGCGCGCGCGGGGCAGGCATATCGCGGAGTTCCAGAATCGGAAGGTCGCGTGCAAGGGGCGCGCGCTGGGCGGCGGCCGCGCGCACTCGGCGGCCACGATGGCACTCTTGCAGCGCGCGGCCGGGGCGCGCGCGCGCAGGGGGGGGGCGCGAGCTGACTTCGGTTTTTCGCCCGCGGTTTTCGGCGGCATTGCGATTTGCATTCGCCGTCGAAAAAGAGACGCCGACACGTCGCATGCCCGCGTCTTCCCGCCCCCCACCCCCTCGCCCTCCTAGGGCCAGTCGAGGGGGAATATCGAGCACGCAGGGGGCGGCTATGCCCACTGAGCAGACAGTTTCTACGTGCTCATTATGGCGTGGCGTTTTCTGCGCAGCGTTTTCTACGCGGCGCGTCCTGCGCAGTGCGTTCTACGTCACGTGTCCTGCGTAGCGTTTTCTACGTGGCATCTCTTGCGTAGCGTTTGCTTCGCTGCTTTTTCCTGCGTAGTGCGTTGTGCGTAGCGCTACCTGCGCAGCGTTGCCTGCGCTGCGTTTCCAGCGCAGCGTTTCTTGCGCAGCGTTTTCCACGCAGTGCTTGTGCGCGCAGCTTTTCTGCGCAGCGTTTGAATGCAGCACTTTTTGCACGCGGTGTTTTTTTTTTGCGCGCGCAGAGTCGTTGTTTGCGCGGTGTGTCTCGCGCAGCGCTGTTGCGCCGTGCTGGTTTCTACGCAATGTTTATTGCGTCGTGTTTTCTGCGTAGCTTTTCCTGCGTAGAGAGTCATGTGCAGCGTGTCCCGTGTAGTTATTACTATTGCGCGGTGTTTCCAACGCAGGGTTTTCAACGTGGCCTTTCGCGCGCGGTGCTTTACACATAGCGTTGAGCGCGCGAACAAAATCCTCGCGTGAAGAACGCTGCGTACAACAAAGAACACATTGCGCAACAGAAGAAAAGACATTTCGTGTTTCTTGTGCTTCTTGTACGATTCGTATATATATATATATATATATGCATTCAAACGCCGCGCGCGCACAAGAACGCGTCTACATAATATTGCGTTGAAGACGCTGCGACAAGGAAGAAGAACACTACGTTCACCAGCTGGGTTCAAAACGCAGCGTAAACCACATTCTGCGTTGGAAGCACAGCGTCGCAAAACAACAGACACATTGCGTTAAAAAAGCGCTGCGTTGGGCGCGCTGCGCAAAACTCTGCGTTAAAAACGCCTGGTTCAAAACATTCGGGAATAACTTACAGAACGCCGCGTGCACGAAAACATTGCGTGAACAAAAACACTGCGCGAAGAAAACTGCCTAAAACACCCTGCTTAAGACATTTTGCGTAACAGACACTGCATAAACACACACAGCGGAAAACAACTGCGTGAATACACGATGCGTAAACAAGGCATTACGTTAAACTCATTACATCACATTTTAAATGCGTTCAACAACACAGAGGAGACATACACAAAATAATGCGAGCAGCAAAGTATTGCGTTAAACAGCTGCGTAAACAAAACATTGCGCCATTTTATACTGCGTGGAAGAAGCGGCGTAACAAAACAACGCTGCATACAAAACATTGCGTAACCATAGATACTGCGTACAACCAACAAACATCGCGCAGCAAAACACGGCGTATGTGGATTCAGCTCACGCTTAGGGCCAACCCTCCGCGAGCCTCTGGCTCCGAAATGCTATGACCTGAGATGCTGTAGGCCGTTTCGCCTAAGACATCCTTGCGTTTCGGGTTCCAATATACGGTTCGCGAGGTGCCCAGGCTCGTTTCGATTGATACATGTTCGGGACCCCTGGCTCCGAGATGCCCTGGGTTGCGGTGTTCTGGCCAGTTTCGCTTGAGATGCCTTCACGTTTGCGCTCCCAGATGCGATCCGCGAGGTGCTCAGGCCCGTTTACATTGTGGTATCCTCGGGACCCCAGGTTCCGAGATGCCCTGGCTTGAGGCACTTTGGCCCGTTTCGCCTGATAAATTTTTGTCCTCCGAATTCTGGGTCCGATCGCCAGGGCCTCGCGATTCGGGGGATGCCAGCGTCCCCGGGAAGGCTCTTGGCGTGGCCACAACCAACGGCTTGTGCTAGCATGTGCGGATGGACCGCGCCCTCCCTTAATAGAGATTCTCGGACATATGTTCGTGACCCAGGTGTTACGTTTGTAGGTGATATTGAGGGAGGTTTTGCTGGGGTTGCCCCTGGCGCAGGGGGGGCGCCAGGGTCCAAGAGGCCTGCCGAGGGGGCCGTCTGCGATACCCCGCGACACGTTCGGCAAAGAAGAACCAGAGTTATGACATCGCGAACCTAGCAGGCGATCCTTGAGACTGGCGCCCGTATAGCTGTTGATGCCGACAATGGCTGTGGGTTTGGGGCCGCCAGCCGAAGACTATGATCTGTCGACGTCGGCGCCCCACACTGCTCGGCCGAAAAAAGGCTGCGCATTTTTGTCACATTTGTTAGCCACGGGCTCGCGATTCGCGTCTCGCATAAGAGTGCAGACGCGGCGACCAGAAGCGCCAGACAACAACAAATCGCACACATCGTTTCTGTACCGATTCTGGGTGTCCACGTTCTTTGCTGGCGAAGGCTTTTTCGACGACGCACAAATTGAAGAAGGGATATTCCTCTCCGCCCAGGGCTTGCTCCACAGATTTTGCAGTTGGCGGTCGCGGGGCGGCCATGAGTGTGTCGGCGGCGTCAGCGTCGAATTGCGCTGCCCTGTCAGCAGCGACTGTGACAGCAGCGTCTATATGGAGGACCCTCCTGTCCCCTTCGCGGATGAAAATCACTGGCATACACATAAAATTCGGAGGTCCGCGCGGACTCGTCGGATTGGTGCTGGGCACCCATCCCGCACAAGGGGCGGGCGGCACTGGAGGCGACGCCAGCGGGGCCCAGCACCGATCCGAAGAATCCTCGCGGACATCCGAGTTGTTATTTTTATGTCATTGTTTGTTCCCCTACCCTCCGAGGCGCATATTGTTTTTCTAGCCCCTAGAGATTAATTCTTCACCCACACACCTTCACGTCCGTTACTGGTGGGGGGATCGGTCCTCCGTGGAGTGGTAACGGTCACGTGGTCGGGCCCAAGGGGTGGGAGCCCGGGCGCTGGACGATGATGCCGACGACGACGGCCGCCACTGGAGGCATTTGGAGGCCCTCGACGAACGACGACGACGACGACGACGACGACGACGACGACGACGACGACGACGACGACGACGACGGCCGCCTCTGAAGGTCTCCAGAGGTCTCTGGAGGCCTCAGGAGATCTCCACGGGCCTCTGGATTCGACGGGAGGCCCTCCGAGGCCCTCGGAAACGACGACGATGAGGACGATGAGGACGACGAGGACGACGACGCCGACGGCGATGGCGACGACGACAACGACGACGCCGACGGCGGCGATGACCACCGCGACGATGACGACAACCACGACGACGACGTCTACGGCGTTGACGACCTCAACGACAACCTCTGGCGGCGGCAACTGCTTACCAAGCATTGTTTGATTGGTTCTATGTGTATGAATGAATACCTACATATACACATTCATACATACATAAACATATATATATATATGTATGCATATATATATACATCTATACATATATGTACACACATGTGTATATATATATATATATATATATGTATGGGTACAGGGCTGGGGGCCTCCTCCCAGTTGCCTCGGGTCGCGGCCGTCCTCCCAGCTGCCTCGGGTCGCCATGGGGGCTCTGGCTCCCCAGGTACCCTCTCCAGCAGCCCGAGGGCTGCCCAGACGGCTTTGAGTGGCGTCACGGTACGGCCCTTGCGCAGTCTGGGAAACATTCGGAGTTTCCCGACGCGTCGCACATCGGTCATCGCACGGCTCCGCGAACGCACACCGAGCCCAAGCCCCCCCATAAGGCCCAGCACCTCCACGCAAGGGCGGGCCTTGCCTGGGGAACCTCTCCCTCGGTACTTTGGGTTTCGTGGATCAGCGCAAGGTCTATTGACAACGACTGCGCAGTCGGCTAGAACCTAAACGCGCGCGTAGCGCGCGTGGTTCTTATGTACATGTATAGATATTATACATGTATTTCGTAGCGGTAACGGTAGTGGTAGTCGTAATGGTAGTTTGGGCGGGAGTTGCAGTGGTAGTGGCAGAGGTAGTCGTAGTGGCAACGGGAGTTGTAGCGTTAGCAGTCGTGTTAGTGGTGTTGGCTGTGTTTTTGATAAGTGGTGATGGTAGTGTGCAGAAAACAATACGTATTGATTGTGGCACTACGGAGAGGAACAAGGAGGCAATCGGAGCAGGAGCAAGCAGAAGATGTGGACGGTGATGCTCATGTTGATGATGATGACGATGATGGTGATGATGCTGCTGATCATGATGATGATGAACGATGATCGTGAACATTGGACATTCGCTTTCTAAGCTGGACGAGGTGGAGGGAGATAGAGGCTGAGTGCCCAGGACCAAGAGGTTGACCAGAATGAGGAGGAACATCGGCAAGAGGAATCACATAATGAGCGGCACAGGATGATGAGAAGCCGAAGGAGGAGGAGGAGGAGGCGAGATAGAAGGAGAAGGATGGGCAGATGTGGGCGGGACAAGGAAGGAGGTATACTATGAATAGAACACAAGCGGGTCAGGGAAGGGAAGGTGAAGGAAAAGGTCGCGGAGGCGACGGATAGTGAGGGGCAGCACGTGGGGAAGCGCATGGAGGGGGACACCAGGACATACTCGCTTCAAGGTCGGCGCAAGGACGGGGGCGAGGGAGGGCATGGGAAGGGTCAGGGTATCGCGAGGGAGAAGGGCAGAGGAAACAGAAGGCCTCGGCAAGCGCAGGTGGGTCTGCCGTTCCTGGAGCGTTACGATCTCGACCTGGACCGTGCGCGCGGCGAGCAGAGGCTCAAGAAGGCCCGGGGAGCAACAGCGAGGGGAGAGAGAGGGAGAGGGGCCTCTCTTTCGCCCTCCTCATCCTCCGCTTCCCGCTCCCAGTTCGCTTCTCTCCTCCCTCGGGGCCGTCCTCACCCGAAGGCCCTCTCCTGCCGCAGCACCCCCCTGGCACGATCCCAAGCGGTGAGTGGGGCCGGCCCCGCCCCTCGTCGCTGCACCCCGGGGAGGGCCTCGGAGCCTCAGACCCCGCCCGGTCGCCCGCGACCATCCGAGTCGCCCCCCTGCCCGGGCAAGGCCGGCGCCGTGGCCGTCACAGCCCAGACGACCTGCAGGAGCCCGCAGGCGAAGGTGGGCGCGGTGTCCCTGCCGTGCCTGGCGCTCCCCGGCAACCTGCTGGGCTTGCCCGTCCAGGCCGCGGCCGGCAGCGCGTGCTGAAGAGTCCCGGGCCACCCGGGCATGGGGCCAGAGCAGGCGGCGGCGGGGCCGGAGGGTCGCGCCGCATCCAAGTAGCCGATCAGTCGGCGATGCGGCGCGATCTGGAGCACCATCTTCTACCTGCCGACGTCGCAGATGCACCGCCGATGCAGCTGCGATGCGTTGCGATCCTCTGGTGGGCCCATCTGCTCCAGCCCCATTTTGGCGGCTTCTAGCCTCTAGCCTGCTGAAGCATGGGCGGATCACTCGGAAATATGTTGAGAATTGTCGGGCGCCTGCCTCTTCCTTGAGTTCAAGGTGCAGGACCATGATATCAAAAGCACATCCCTGGCGGCAGAGGACTCCATATTGTTCTTTCCGATGCCTTAAAGAGCACGCTCGGCTATTGCTGCCCCATGACATGCGCGATGCTGTACGCGACCATGTAACAAGATACAATGCTACACTGTAGCTCGAGTCCATTGATGATGATTCGATTCTCCTCTGAGCCCTTCCAGGCCAGATCCGCACCAGGCCAGTCTTTGTCGTAGATGATACCTCTCGGTGGACCCAACGTTCATCATTTAGTACACTTTCGGTGCTCAAGCAGGTCAGGCCCCAGCACTTCCCCTTGTTCATATCACGGTGCAGTGGGCGAGTTGTAATATCTGTTGAGAATCCAAATTCAATTAGCATGCGGGCCGCATGCGCCCGCTCGCGCGCGCAAATCAAAACCACTCAAATACCGCTTTGGTTTGGCATCCAGCATTCTAGTACCCAGCTCTTCTAAAACATATGAGTATCACGCTGTTTCCAATCTCGACTGCTGAACGACGCACTTGTCACCTGGATGCGCATAACGTTCTGTCCCCAAGCCGTGTTTGCACTTAGGGGTTTTTGATTATGTCCCTAGGGTCTGTATGGCTCCAGCGAGGTTTCGCGGTTTCGCCGCGTTGTCGCCCGTGGCCACATTGTGGCCGCCTCGTGCGCTGGGTTGGTCGGGCGAGGTTTCGCCACGGTGCAGCCCGTGTCCGCCTCGTGGGCGCACCGTGCGTACAATACTTAGCTCACGCCGCATAGCTTGCACCACATAACTTACACCGCGTAGCTCATACCCAAAAAGAGTGCACCGCACGACTTTCATCGCATACAGTCCACCCGCATAGTAAAGATGGGCAACCTTCCCAAGGGTACCCCTGTACCCTTACCTCCTCGGCCCATCCTTGGCCACTCTCGTTGGCCGCGCCCCGCTCGCAAGGTGTCGACATGGCCTCCCAAGGCCCTTGCATCTTTATCGTGCGTCATGATGGTTCGGGTTGACTGTAGCTCACAGATCATAGCTAACACCACACCGCTTGCACCACATGGCTTGCGCCACGTAGACTGCACTGCACATGTGCTCATTTCAAAAGAAGATCAGACCCTACCACCCCCTCCCCCCCGGACTTCTTGCTCCCCCCTCGGGCATTGCAAGCTACATATGATTACACTTCGTCGCGAACTTTCCATATGAAATCAATTCAGAGCACCCAAGCCCAACTGGTATCGACCCCCGCCTTCATCTTTGCCACATTATATTACATATGCGCGCACCCGTTTATTGCAATGCATCACTGTCCAAGAACCCTTAGCAACAAGTAGCGCAAAGTCCACACACGGGCACATGCCGTAGTCATACCAACACAGATTCGTTGCGCAAGAATTTCAACCTCAAGTCTTCAATGGCTTTTTTCGTAGGCGTTTCATCACAAATCGTGCAGATGTTCTGCCCGCGCGCACTTCCTGAACTCATAGGATAATCACCTGATTTGAGCAACCTCGTCCAGAACTCGCGTTCTCACCCTCATCTCATCACGCGGTGCATCCGCGTTGATCCATCATACGCCCAGCGCGCGAATCCGTATCACATAGTATCATGCGGGCCGCACGCCTGCGCCGCCACGCGCGCGTGCCAAAATCCTTCTAAATTCATTGGTTTCCGAAGCATTTAAGGACAGAGCTCTTCCACCACATCTCAGACATGAAAGGTTGTACAACAAAGTGCTTGCCAGGTGTCTTACATTTCTGGTCGCGTGCGCTTCCTCACCACAACTCTCACCAGCGCAGCCGCATCACGTCATCGTCATCTGCCGCCATCGGTCTCACCACCGACACATGGACATCATCATCGTCATCGTTGCCACCAGCATCGGCGCCGTGATTGGCCGTGCCGTCGTCTTTGTCATCTTCGCCACCACCATGGCTAGCCGTCGCTTTCGGCGTCATCATGATACCGCGCCCGCCCAAGTCACCGGCGCGCCAGCGTGGCCTTTCAGACGCGCGGGGAAGTTTCCATCGGTACGCGCCATCGCGGTTGCACCAGTTGTGCCAAATTTGCTGGCCGCTCTGCGCGCGAGCTTGCACGCGCTGGCGCAAACGCAGAGATGCGATGCGACAGCCAGTGCCGAGTAGTCTCCGCAATCGCAGCCGCGTGGGTTATGCAAACAAGTTGCGGGTGTGAGGGTGGTATGATTGCGCGAGCAGTGGCGTTGGCGGCTTTGAAATTTTGCGACGTGGATTGTACCTATGGTGAAGGCCTTACAGCCAGCGCCGCCGACCCTGAACGTTTTGGCCGTCGATGGCGACGGGATGTGTGATCACAGGAAGGAGCTAAAGGACAACGTGACAGGGTAGGCGGAGGAAGTGTGTGTGGAGGAGGAGGAGAAAGAGGAGGAGGAGGAGGAGGAGGAGGAGGAGGAGGAGGAGGAGGAGGAGGAGGGGGAGGAGGAGGAGGAGGAGGAGGAGACAAACGAAAAGGAGATGGAGAAGTTGACAAAAGACGCTCAGGAGGAGGATGGAGGTGGTATTCTGACCCGGGACCCCCCCCAGGACCCCCCACCGGGACCCCCCTCAGGACCCCCCCCCGGGGCTTCCGCCCCCCGGCCGGGGAAGGGAACAAAGGGAAGGGGAAACCCTTCGAGTCAATTTACTTTACGCATGAGGAAGAGATGGAGGAGGAGGAGGAGGAGGAGGTGGAGGAGGAGGAGCAGGAGGAGGAGGAGGGGGAGACGAACGAGAAGGAGACGGAGAAGGTGGGAAAGGGAAGGAGGCACGGACGAGAAGAACAACCCATCCCACACGCCGACAGGGTCGGCGGATTTGACTGCGCCACATAGCGTACACCACATAGCCACGTCAAATGTATTTCACCACAGACAATGCACCACGTAGGTTGCATTGAATAGTCTGCGCCGCATATATTACACAACATAGCTTGCGCCGTAGAGCTCGCACAACACAGATTGCACCATGCAGATTGCGCCACTAGCTTGCACCGCATACATCACACCACAGGTCACACTTCATAGGTCACACCACATAGCTTGCACGTCCACAGTGCAACATCTCACTGTTTGGGGTCCACGCTGGCAAACACGTCATTTGCAGCAGTTGATGCGACGCGTTGGCATCATATCGATTGCTGCACAATGTGTTAGCCAGGCGCGGCGCTGGAAGTGGAATCGGACGAAGCATACGGATGCACTGGGCGGCCCCAATCTCGTGACGACGGGTGCTCGCAATACATGTAGTTTCAGTTTGAGGAGCCAGAGGGGTTTGACGTAACCGTCTCAGGCAATGTCGGTTTTCTTTGCCTACCTCTCGCCACGGCGGCATTGTTGGGTCCAGCGTGGACGCTTCTGCGCCAAAGGTTGACTCTCAGAAACATATGCCGTCAGAGTCCGAAGGCGAGATGATTTTAACGATCTGAATTGTTCGTGCTGAGGAAAGGTTAGCGCCCACATTATTCATCAGCATCGCTGCCACAGGCGCGGTGAGGTGTCAGTGTCCCTCGCGAGACCGAGCTAAAGGGATTGTTCGCAATGGTACTAGTTCGCGAATGCTGCGTTCCGATGGTAAATTTGATGAGTTGGTTCATATGCATTAAAACAAGGAAGTCACCACGTGATCGTGACACGCAGTCTCGAGAGCCATGTTCAGGATGGCCCGGCTGAGCGGAACGAGATACAGGATGATCAGCACGGTCAGAATGGTCAGGACGATAGTGGGAGGGATCGAGAGATTGGAGGTGAAAACGACTACGGTATGGTTGTGCGGCCTCGACGCATCGGCGATCACGTCGCCAGCGTGTAAGGTTGAACACCTTGTGGTGGCTTGCTCCGTTTCTTTAGAGCCGCACAGCCAGAGTAAACAATACATGGCGCAAGGTCCGTACGACAGATGGGGTTCAGAGCATTTGGGGCCCCCCGAAATCAGATATCGTTCGGGATCGACGGGCTCACGCGGTGTTAGATACCAAAGACGACATCACCCCACAAACAATCCCCCATCCATCAAACACCGGAAATTCGCCAGGTCCGCCACAAGCAGAAGTCCTTACCGCTGCTAGGCATTATTGACACGAGCTCGATGTACTCGGTGATCAATTGGCAGGTGGCCTCCGCGTCGTTCTGCCCGACCTCTTCACGTGGCGGCGTCGTCTTGCTGCTGCGTCTGCCCCTCACCCTTCTCGAACTCCAGGTAGCAGGCTCTCGGCAACGGCAGTCAGAGGCGCCCCGACCGCAAGAGCGCCGATGAGGCTGCCTTGCCGCTCCTCGGCGCGCACCCGCGCCCAACACCAGGCGCCTCCGCTATCCGTTGTCCCGCGCGCTTCCTCGTCGCGCGCGGACTTTCTGCGACCTTTCCCCCTCGTCCTGGCCAACATGGAACACACGTAACACTTGCCCACTTGTTGGAGTCCCGGGGTGTTTCAAAGACGATGGAATTTCGCATTATCGTATTCTCGTCGGTGTCCCTTCCCTCACGTTCAAGCGCTATGCCGATCTCACTGTATGTCCCTTTCGCTCTCACGGTCTCTCTATCTTTCTCTTTCGCCTTCTTTCTTGTATGTTTCCTCTCTCTCTCACGATCTCTCTCTCTCTCTATATATATCCCTCGCGCGTGAGCAGTATCCAGCTTTCTGCGGCAAGCCTCGCCACCAGCTCAGCCAATTTAGTGTGGACTGTTCGAGGGTCGCGCAGGAGGCTGTAATGCGTCACACATCGTGTCCCCAGGCGTGTGTGTGTGTGTGTGTTTGTTTGTGTGTGGGTGTGCGCTTATCCTCTGCATCGGCATGCTCCAGTTCTAGTGTTCCTGTCTCTCTCTACGTTCTTCCTGGTCCACCACTTTTGCGTTTCTCCTTCTTTCTCTTTGCCCATCCCTTTTATGGCGACAGCTGGAGGACATGTGACGACGACGATGATGGTGCTGATGATGAAAAGGAGGAGGAGGAGGAGGAGGAGGAGTCGAGGCCGTCAGAAAACCGTAGTTAAACGGTTCCCGCTGCAACGCCGCTAAGTCCAGCATTTGAGTCCAGAATATGTGGCGATGGTTTGAGCGACGCTCATAATGCTGTGACATGTGTCACCTCGATTGTCTTGTTATTGTTTTCGGGGATCTAAGTCCGTCTTCGGGCGGAGAGCGAGGATGTGGAAGATAAGGAGGAGGAGGAGGAGGAGGAGGACTGGAGTGGAGCAGGAGGATCACGGAAATGATGATGTGGAGGAAGAACAAGAGGATGACGACGAAACATCAGAGGAATGTCGTATTTGGCATTTGTTATTGGAAGGCCTTCAGAAACACCGAAATTCCGTATACCGAACATTTCAAGCACACTACATGTGTGGCGACGTTTGAAGCAACGTTTGGAAGGCAATAGCACGTGACACCCTGCTGCTTTGTGGCTGATTTGGATTGATGTGATGCCGATTTGGGGCGGAGGATGAGGAGGAGCACGATGAGGAATACAATGATGGTGACGATACTTAGGATAACGTATATTGTGTCACCTTTTGACTCGAGACTTCCAACCAGCCGGAATTAGCTTCCTCCCGAGCCGCTGATTATCCTACATAGCCAGCTGTTCTCGAGCCAGTGCAGCATTCCCTATGGCGACGCTTCGAGCACCGTCCAGAAGGCCATATCATTTGGACCATGCTGTCGTTATCATTTGAGGTATTCGTGTTGGGGATGGTTTGGACCCCTCTCTCCTGCTCGTCCCCGTCCTCTTCTGAGACCTTCTTCGGCCGTCTTGAGGCCCTCGTGGGACCCTCTTGTGTCGTCTTGGGGTCGTGGGGCTCTCTTGGGTCGTATTGGTGCCGTCTTGTGCTCATCTCAGCCGTCTGGAAAGTCTCTTGGTGCTTTATTGGGCTGTCCCGGGCAACTGTGGCCGCTCTCTGGGAGCTGTCCTTGGCCGTTTCGGGGGCTTTAGGGGATCCTCAGTGGGCGTATATGATGTCTCTCTTTAGCTTCTCCGTGGCCCCCTTGGAACCATCTTGAGCCGAGAGTCCCAGAACTCTTGAGCTGTTCAACACATAGCACGTGTTTACGGAGTTTGTAGATGGTTGGTTTTCACCGGGGGGCTGTCGGCCTTCCCTTCCATGTATGTATTTCGAGCCTAGTGGGGCCCCTTTGGCGACCCGTGAGGCCTGATTGATCTAAAGCAATGTTGGGCCTTCTTGGCGACTCTGGTGGCATTCCTGGGCCGCCTTGGAAGCCTTGGAGAGCCCTGGGGAAGCTTCGGACCGCCCAGCGAGTCTCAAAGGGGGGGATGCACGCGACTGATTGTGACCGAGAGGGAGGAGAGTCCCTTAGAAGATTTGCAGGACTCCTGCCAGGCAGTTCTTGGCATTGCAGCACGCCTCAATGTGCTGGAGGGCACGGTGGCGGGTCCCCCTAATGGCACCCTCGCCTGCAAATGTGCAAAATCAATAGGCGGACGAGTGTCCGAACAGACGGACGAGTGGAGTGATGGACGCACGAACATCCTGACGCACGGACGAGCGTGCATCGAGGGCATGAGGGCTCTGTGATGCGGGTTGGCCCCAGGCAGCGCGCGAGCTGGGCATCGCCTCTGGGCCCGCTGACGCCAAGCTGGGAAACGCCGCGAAGGCTGCCGCCTGGGATGCAGAGGCAGAGTGGGAGGAGGAGGAGAAGGAGGAGGAGGGGTGCCGACGAGAGGGGAGGAGGAGCAGGCAAAGGCATCTCATGGTTTTTGCGAGAAGGGTTCAATAGTAGACGGAGGATGCAAGGGGACTGGATGAGAAGGACGATTACGCTGAGGTGGAAGGCGGATGAAGCCAAACATGAGGAGACGAGGAGGAGGGGGAGGAGGACGACGACGACAAGGACAAGGAGAACGAACGAGGAGGAGGGGGACGCACATGAAAAGGATGAAACGCTGGAGAAGGAGGAAGAGCAGGATCCCCACAGTTTCCGCAAGGAGGGTCAAGGCGAGGATTCCCACAGCGTGGGCGCAAGAAGGGCCGGGAGTGAGAATCTGGATTATGGGGAGGATCACAAGGAACAGGACGGGGAAGGAGAGGAGGAGCGGACTCCCCTTGGTATGCGCGAGAAGGGTCTACATGGAGGATGCGAAAATTGATTCCCGCAGCGCCGCGGCACCACCGCCCCGGACGTCTCCGAAGCGCAGGCTCGCCAGCAGCGGGAGGCCATGCGACGTCGCCTAGCGGCGGCCATGTCCCCATCGAGTTCGGTGTTGTCGATCGTCGCGGGGGACTTCAATTGGGTGGCTGACGCGCGGGACCGTTACGCCAAGACGACCGCCGAGTACACTGGACACAGGGATGCTGGCGACGAGCGGCACTTCCATTCGGTCTTGTCTCAGCCCTATGGGTTGTTCGAGCTCCGGCAGCCGGCGATGACGCAGGAGAACGCCAGCTCCAGGTCCTGACTCGACCGCATCTATTGGAATCAGCCCTTGGCTGAGCAGCTGGATCGTCGCATCTACTGCGCTTCGCTTGAATGGGTGCCACACCTGTCCGCCCATAGGGCGGTCGCGTTTGGACGTCTTCGACCTGCTCGTGAACGAGACGAGCCTCGTCCAGTACCTGCTCACCTGCTTTGTGATCCTGCGTGGCCTGGCTGAGTGGCGGAGGAGTTCCACGAGCTCGTCGGGCAGGATGCCGAATCGTCGTGCCCTTTGCGCTGCTTGCAGTTGTTGAAGCAGGCTATCCGGACAGTGTCGGACCGCATGGCTGCCGGGAGGGATCGGGCCGGCGTGGCCCCGCCAGAGGTTGACGACAAAGTCGGGCTCATGATGCGGTTTGTACAAGCGGTCGAAGATGGCCGCGCAGGCCAGATGCGTCGATTCTGCGGCTGTACCGCATTTGCAGACCTCGGTTGCTGACCCAATGGCTCTGCTGCATCTCCGGGGCGCCAGTCTTGGCCCTTTCCGCAAGCACGCCGTGGGCCTGGCGCGCGAAGCCGCCGTCGGGCAACTTGCGGAGCTGTCCGGGGCTGCTGCTGCGGACCCCACGCGGGACCACAGACGAGATCGATTGTTCCAGATGCTTCGTAGACTCTCCCCGGGCAGGCCGACGTCGTTACCTGCTGTGCGGAACGCCCGCGGCGAGGTCGTCACGGACCCAGAGGCGATGGCGGATGCTCTTCGTAGTCGCTGGTCGGCTACGTTTGCGTCGTGCCAGGTGGATCGCCAGGCGCTGAGGCGGTGGCTACAGGAAGACGTAACTTCCGACGGTCTTCCCCCGCCAGGAGATCAGGCGTAGCAGCCCCGCCAGGGCGATGTGCAAGCAGCTCTGGATTCATCTCCAGACTCCGCGCCTGGGCCCGATGGAATTCCCTTCTTGTCCTGGAGACTGTTGGGCCCATTGGCTGTGGACGTTTTGTTCAAGGTTCTTCAACGCGTGGCGACTGACCCTGGCTCTCCAGCTCTGGACGACTTCCTCCGTGGATCCGACGTGTCCACCGGCTTCAACCGCAGCTTGAAGGTGTTTCTGCCCAAGGCGCCTACTGGGACAGATGCAGACGTTGGGGAATACTACGACCCCGGGGACACCCGCCCTTTGAACATCGAAAACAGTGGCAGCAGAATCCTCGCCAACGCCATCGGGCTCAGAATCGAGCCTCTGCTGGCCTCGTGGATCTGCAGGTGCCAGCGCGGGTTCGTCGGCGGCCGCTCGATGCTTGCGAACGTCGTTGATGTTGACCTCGCCATGATGCAGACGGCTCTTTGCGACGACGCTGGCCTGGCAGTCTTCTTTGACTTCAAGGCGGCGTTTCCCAGCGTAGCTCTTGCATTTCTGCGAGAGGCCCTCTCTGCCGCTGGCCTGCCTCAGTGGGTCCTCAACGTCGTGGCAGCACTATACGCGCACAACAAGTGCACGCTGGTAGTGGGCGGCAGGCAGCATGACGGCTTCGAGCTTTTGGCAGGTATACGACTAGGTTGCCCTCTTTCGCCCCTTCTTTTCGCAGCTGCAGTTGATGTCTTGCCTCGTCGAATACAGCGCTTCGTGCCGGGGGCGATTGTGCGCGCCTACGCGGGCGACGTTGCCGTTGTGTTCCCCTCTGGCATTGCGGCGTTTCCGACGCTGGTCGGGGTCTTCGAGGAGTTCTCACGCATATTTGGCTTTCGGCTAAACCTGCCGAAGACGGTGATCGTGCCGCTTTCACTTCAAGACGCAACGCTTCTGGCCAGATTTGTATCCGAGCGCTTCACGGCGTGGGCAGGCATCAAGGTGGAGCTTCATGCGATGTACTTGGGATTTGTACTCGGCCCAGAACGCGGCGATCTCGCCATCACGAAGCCGCTCAAGAAGTTCCTCGAACGCGTTCGGGATTGGGGTGCCGCGGGAGGCGGGCTACTCCTCACCGCGTTGGCGTACAGCGTGTACATTATCCCGGTGATTGCGTTCTTGTTGCAACTGGACAACTTGCCGCCTGCGTGGGGGCAAACCGAAGCCCCGGCTCTCCGAACTCTCGTCCCCGGCCTTGAATTCTGGTGCATTCCTGCAGATCTACGCAATTTGCGGGGGCTCGGCTTCCCGAAGGACTCCCCCGACGCTGCGAGGCTCTCGCTGGCCTGCCGCTTCCGGGTGGCGCGCCGGGAAGGCCTGCCCGACGGCCTTCGCGTGGCCGAGCGGTCGCGTGAGCTGCGCTTGCGCATGCGGGATGCGGAGCACTTGGATCGCATTGCACGTTGGTCGTCATGGTTTCAGCGATCATTCGTCTTTCATCTCGAGGCCGCGGCGGCGCACCTCGCGGCCAGTGGGGTTCGCCCCGACGCCTTGGAAGGCGAGCTGGCGCGCGGCGAGCCCCGCCCCTATTGCAGCAGCGCGGCAGCCGCAGTGCGACGTGGTCTTCAGCGGGCCGCCCTCGCCGCCTTGCCCAGGGGTGTCCAGTCTCGAATGGAGCGGCGCACTCGTTACAAACTCACAGTGCGGAACGTCTCTCAATTCCCCCGCTGCCGGGCGGAGCGCTGCCTCGCGGTCCTCCGCGAGCTCGGAGCGCGGGTCACTCCTCGCACGTGGGCGGCCGTCTGGAGCACTTTGTGGAATGGGTGGGTTTCATATCGACGCATGCAAGGTGGGTGCCGTCATCTGGACCAACGCATAGTCTGCAGTTCCGCTGCCCCAGATTCCATCGAGCACTACGCGGCGTGCCCAGCCGCGCGGCGGTTTGCGCAGACCTGGCTGGGGCTCCACCGCCCAGGGCCCCGCCAAGATTGTACGAGTTGCTTCTTGCTGCTGGACATGCCGCTCCGCCGCGTGACGGCCGAGCCAGGGCTTCTCGTTCGCAAGGCGTTGCGCACCGCAGCTGTGTGCAAAGTGCACTGTCTTTTCCGGCACGGCGGCGTTGGTGCTGGACCGGCAGCGCGCGAGGCGTTGCCCCAGTGCGTTCGCGAGCTCGTTAGGGGGCATCCTGTCTCCCAGCGAGCCTTAAGTCAGTGGGGCTGATTTGCAGTTTTGCAAGCACGTCTTCCTCTCCCCGCCTCTCCGTCTCTCCTCGGCTCCTCCCCTCCCTTCTTGAATGCTGACCGCCCGCCTGGTTATGCAGCGACGTCAGCCGATGCCACCCGCCTCCCTCCTGGGGACTTCAAGCCCTAGGGGGGCAGGGGCCGTTCCTGTCCCTGTCCTCCCCCCTCCCCCCTCTCCTCTTGCCCTCCCCTCCCTTCCTCTCCCCTCCTCCCCTGTCGTTGGCGTCGTTGTCGTCGTCGTCGTGTCGTCGTCGGTCGTCGGTCGTCGGTCGTCGGTCGTCGGTCGTCTCGTCGTCGTCGTCGTCGTCGTCGTCGTCGTCGTCGTCGTCGTCGTCGTCGTCGTCGTCGGCGGTCCCTTGCTTCCCCGCGGGCTTGCGGCCCCCCCCAGGGTTGGCGTCTCAGGCCGTGGCTTTTTTGGCAAACCTGTCGTAGCGCTCTGGGGCTGCACGCTGCGCACTGGGCGCGATGGTCTCTCCACTTCGGCTCGTGCCGGTGTTTCCAAGCCGATCGGAGAACACGGCACGAATTTCAGCGCTCGGCAGGGGCGTTCCTCCCTCCCTCCCTCCCTCCCTCCCTCCCTCCCTTTCCTGGCCCCTGTTTTACCCGAGTCCGGGGCTATTGCGCGTTTTCGGTGGCGTGCGCATTTCGGAGAAAATAAATCGCACCGTCCGTTTACGGAGTGGCTGGCGAGCCATTTTCACGCTTCCCCACGGGGCGTTTTTGGGCAATCACGGTGTCCTCTCACGCCTCCCAGCCTGCGTGGCAGCCACCGTTTAGGTCGCCACAGGGCGCTGCAGTCAGCACAGTTTTGCCCCAGGACTCTCGGCGCGAGCGCGCAGCTGCTTTCCCTCATCCGGTCTTTCTCCCAATTGGTGCATCGGCACTGCTTGCATTCGGGTCGAGGCCGCTTCCTCGCCCGGCGCTGCCCGACCCTGTAGGCCGCCACCCTGGGTTCCCAGGGCCCGCCTTAGGCTTGCACAATGCTCTCGGCGGGGCTTGGCTCTCTCATGGCCCCCCTAGTTTCACTACTTTTCATCATTACTTTGACGCGTGCCCCGCACCCAGATTTAGTGCAATATTGTTTGCCACTCGTGCTCACGGGCCTGCCAGGAGCTTCGAGTTAGTTATCGGAGGTGAGGGGGTGAGATCGAAGTGGAACGGAGAGCCCCCCTACCGGGAAATCGATGTCGGTTTCGTGTTCGTGCGTGCCGTGCGTGCGGGCGAGGCGAAGCTGCGTGGGCGGGCGAGAAGAAAGTCTCCTGTGGCTGAGGCGCGGCCGGACCAAATGTCTCCCTTCCGGGCGGCCAGGGCCCCGCGGTGTCCCGCCGGTGTCCCGCTGGTGTCCCGTGTGGCTGAGGCGCGGCCGGACCAAATGTCTCCCTTTCGGGCGGCCGGGGCCCCGCGGTGTCCCGCTGGTGTCCCGTCGGTGTCCCGTCGGTGATGATGATGATGATGATGACAATGATGATGATGTTGACAACGATGATGATGATGATGATGATGATGATGATGATGATGGTGATGATGATGGTGGTGATGATTGTCAGTTCGGTGGTGATACCGAATGTGAGATCGATTGTGAGATCGATGGTGATATCGATAGTGAGGTCGATAGTGAGACCCAGTGTGAGATCGATAGTGAGATCGATAGTGAGTTCGATAGTGAGACCGATAGTGAGACCGAATGTGAGATCGATTGTGATATTGACTGTGATATCGATAGTGAGATCGATAGTGAGATCGAACGAGAGATCGATCATGACTTCGATAGTGAGTTCGATAGTGAGATCGATAGTCAGATCAATTGTGAGATCGATTGTGGTATCGATAGTGAGATCGATAGTGAGACCGAATGTGAGATCGATTGTGCGATCGATTGTGAGATCGATCGAATGAGATCGATACTGATATCGGTGGTGAGATCGAGCGTGGGACCGAATGTGAGATCGATCGTGAGATCGATAGCCATATCGATTGTGAGATCTATTGTGAGATCGATTGTGATATCGATAGTGAGATCGTTAGTGAGATCGAGTGTGAGATCGATCGCCAGATCGATTGTGAGATTGATCGAATGAGATCGATAATGAGATCGATAGCGAGATCGATAGTGAGATCGATCGAGTGCGACGGTGGTCCCCCCCCCCTCGCCTCCTTATCACCCGAAGGGTGGTCTATGCGGTAGTGCGTTTCTTCCTCCTCCCTCTCGTCTTCTGCTTTCCTCCTCCTTCCCCTTTCCCGCCTCAGCTTCTCACTTCATGGCATCTGGGGGTGCTTTCTCTCTGCCACGCCATCGCATGGTCCTCAAATTGGTATGCAATGCGGGTTCCTGTCTTGAGTTGTTTTGTGAGGCCTCATTATAAAAATGGTCGCTGGGACCATAAGGGGTTCGATTCTCACACACAGCGCCAATGTCCTTTCTCGTCTCCTCTTCTTCCTCCTCGTCGCCCCCCTCCTTTTTCCCCTTCCCCCTGAATGTGGTGACGTCTACCCGGCCGGCCACTTCAGTTCTTCTCGCCTGTGTTTTTTTAGTTGTTGGATGTTGTTGTGAATAAAGCCGCGGTTCAGTCTCTGCCGCGTGTCGCCACGGAGTGCACAAGTGACTCGAGTGTTGTTGCGGTCGCCCCCTCCTGCTTGCAATGAACATGGTTCCCGCAGCTTGCGCATGAAGGAACAGGAGTGTGAGGCTTGCCTTGGCTTGCGCATGCAACACAAAAGAAGGAGGATGGGATAAACAGAAGGATAATGGGGGGAAGGGAGAGGAGGATATGACGGAGGAGGAGGAGGAGCCTTTTTTTTCCAAGAGTCCGTAGCCATTTGGGCTCAAGGGCAACCGTTGTGCAGGGTTATAGACGCCCGGCAATCAGCGATTACCTTTTGAGGTATCCGTCGCCACGCTCAAGCGACTAGGGTGCCAGCGCGTCCTAGCTTTATCCTTTCGGCCACCTCCCCAGTATCAGTTGTCGACACTTTGAGGGCGCTTGCTTAGCAAGCGAGAGATGCACGGCAATGGCGCTGCGCAGGTGCCCACTCCACTTCGGGCTGGCGCTGGGCTGGAGGCTAGCTTGGTCGAGGCCTGGGAGGCTGCGGCCACCTTCCCCGCCCAGAACGCCGAGTTCGTTTCGCCTCCTGGTTCTCCCCGTCGCGGTGATCATGGTGATGATGGGGCCAAGCGACGCAAGCAAGCATATGGTGCTGAGCTTCGACGGGACTTCGACGCACTCAAGGGCCACGTCGACACCAGCATGGCGAACATGCTCGACTTTCTTGTCAAGGCCACGGAGAGTGTCACCGCCGCCATGGCCGACCTGCAGAGAACGGTCAATGACTCCTACAAGCCGTTGCGCACTCATATGGAGATGCGCGCATCCAGTCTTGAGGGTGCTCAGCGTCTGCATGAATCCAGGATCTCAGAGACTGGGCGACAAATTGCCGCTCCCCCCCGCGAAGCGCAGCAGGAACTTCAGGTCCTTCGCAAGGAGCAGCCTCCCATCAAGCAGTTCATCTCTGGCAGCTCCTTCGATCGAGAGATTGACGCTTGCATCATCGTGGTTCGCCCCCGCCTTTGGTCACAGCCACCGCTGTGGCTGACGGACTCCGATCATGGCTTGCAGGTTGTAACATCTCGGAGGACGACTGGCCCGTGGAAGGCGAGCCGACCAGCAAGAAGTACACGCTCAGGTCCACAGGCGCTGCTGGACTGGCGGCGCGACGAACCTCTCAGGCCCTTGGCAACTTGCGCACCAGGCGCACAGATGGTGGCCAAGGATCGCTCTGGAGGAAATTCACCGCTGTCTCGACGACGAATGAAGTCACCGAGCTCTTCGTGGGCCCCGACGAGGACGCCGCCACAGTCAAGAAAGAAAACGTGCGAGAACATCAGGAGAGCGTTGGAGGCGCATCTTCCTGGTCGCAAGTTCTACATCGACAGGTATCCTGGGGAGATCAGTACGAACTGGCGCCCACGCATCAAGGTCACCCCGCCCACCAAATCTGAGGAGCCACGCTTGGATTTTGCCGCCGCGTTTTGCTGCCGCGACTTTTGTCACTGAGGGCCTCGACCAGCAGGAGATTGCCCCGCTGGTCCTGCGAGCAACGCAGGGAGCAGAGCCCACCGTGTGGAGTTCCTATCAGCTTCTGTGCCCTGTAGCACGGTTCTTCCTCTCCTTTTTCTTCGGCTTCCTCTTCTTTCCGCATTGCCACGTGGAATGCGAACGCCCTTGTCCAGCATTCTGCAGCTCTCCGTGCTCGCAAGATTCGTTTTCTCCGGCGCCTGCTGCAGTGAGACAGCATTACTGCCCTGCAGGAGGCGCATGGAGCTGTGCCTGAGTTGAATGATCTTCTTCGCAATTTGCATCTTCCCTTCCACGCCTCATTCTCTTTTCATCCGGATCCCCTCGCTGGCGGCGCGGCCACTCTGTGTCCTATGATCCACCCCTCCCAGGAAAGACGCGCACGATTTGGCACTGAGTGGCCCCTCATCTCTTCGACCCCCATCCTCCCTGGGCGAGCGCTTCTCACTAAGTCCAGTACGCCGGGTGGCGCGTGCTCTATAGATCGCATTCCAACAGCAACGAATATGGTCTGAACAACGGTGACCGGCGGACCCTCCTGGCCTCGATCAAGGATTCCTTGGGCCTCGCTCGGAACGACCCTGCCAATCACCTCGTTCATGTCTGGGGACTTCAACCTTCCCGCGTTCGCCTCCATCCCGCCCCGCCCCGACCCGAGCGCGGCGAACGAGGCCGTTGAACTCGAGCCTCGCCCTCTTCCTCGAGATTGGCGCTCTGCTCTAGAGCGCGCGGTCGAGTTTGAGTAGTCCACCCCCGCCCGTTTGAATCTCTCCACTAAGCTCCTTTCGTTCATTGACAGAACGTTTACCTCGTTGTCTGGCTGGATTCTCTCCAAATTCGCGTCGGGGGGCGAGGTGGTGGACCGGCCCGAACTCTCAGCGGCCGAGCGCATC